TTTTTAAAATCGGACAATAACCACGCCCACATCCCATGTAACGGTTATTTAGAGAAATACGAAATCTTCGATAAATCAGTAAATACTATAGCTAATTTATTCAAAATTGATGTTTGCAATAACTATTTAGCAAAAAACACGTTTATGATAAAATTTTGGAAAATGGGTGTGGCGCCGCCCACTTATGCTCACATATATGTATCTCGGTAACCGCTGTACCAATTTGTACCAAACTCGGTACGGTTATTGTGCTTGCCACCTGAAAACAAAACATTGAAAATTATTGAAACCGGACTAAAATTACTCCAACTTTTCATATAACGGTAAATTTCAGAAATAATTGAAACTTCGATATTTCGAAATTTAATTTAGCCAAAATTGATGCAAACAACATTCCCTTGAAAAAAAGTAACATTATTATAAAATTTAGGAAAGTGGACGTGATACTGCTCACATATAACTATATAACTTTATCGAAGATGTTTGCAATAGGGATAAAACCGCCCCTGCTTACCACGCAGCGGTAGTTTTCGAAAAGGTGAAAAAACTATATTTAATAATTGCGCCGGGTATCTAATGTTCGGTTCCACCCGAACTTAGGCTTTTTTACTTGTTATTTTGTCAAAATATCCAGAATTAGTTTTTCCTTTTCAAGAACTCTAGAACTATTGAAAAGCTACCCAGAACAGCTTTTTTTGTCCTTTTGCGTCGTACCGCATACCAACTTCACAGACATGCTATTTTTTCATTGCAGGAATACACTCTGAGGTTTGCCATTACCTGCCGAGGGGTGAACGCTGTTAAGAAAAACCCCTTTTTCTATAATTTTTGCGATGTTGCTTTGACCAGGGCTTGAACGCAGGTCCTGCGGAGTGGTAGCGCGCATTGCGAACCACCAACCGCAGCGGTTGTAGCGGACCTCTATACGCCACCTTTTTGCAAAAAGGTAAATTTTTAAACAAGTCTATTGCCCAACATTTCTTTCTGAGCAAGTTTTTGGGCAAAACGGTAAGCTTTATAGGCAAATTTGGAGCAAAAAAATTCTTTCAAAGCAATTTTATGTGGGAAAAGGCAAATTTTATCAGCAAGTTTACTGCGCAAAAAATGTGTGTTTTACTGCAATGTTGGGTTGCCTTAATTTTTAGGCATAATAAATTCAAATTTGAGGTCTCTGAAATACTCAAAAATATTATTAGGAAGTTCGGTTCTTACTTCAGTCCATCACTACGTTCTGCAATGCCATGACCACAGCGTTTATCTTTCTTCCATTCCCCCATATACGTTTCTGTGACGGCAGAATCTAGCTGCTCATCTTCCATTGTAAAGCTAGCATTGGAATCCGTGTGGGTTGATCTTCAACGAAAAAATGCATTATTAGAATAAAGCCTTTTTCGAAAAAAATATATTTACCTTGTTGTTAAATTGGATTGCTCTGATCCTGTGCTTACCCATGACGAGGTAGATGCCGTAGACCTGACACTGCTCGATGTCAACGTGCCTCTTTTTTCCAAATCTCCGGTGCTCTTTTGTCTACGCATTTTAAAACCCTAATAAATGTAAGAAATAATTCTATATAAATTATATTTTTAATTATTAATATTTTTTACAGATAAAAATCCTTTTTTTGACTTCTCCGTCAAACTATTGCGCCGCACCGGAAGTTTATCAGATTTGGAAGTCAGCACAAAACCACCTCTTATTTCATCTGACCGGCCTTTGTCTGCTTCACTTATATCGGAACTGCGTAGCGAGTTTAACGATGAGTGCATATCTTTTCGGCGGTGATGTGAAGCTAGTCCAAAAGGAGCTGATATGCGAATTCCATATCCATGACGTTTTCCCTCTTGCCATTGGCCTTGGTATTTACCTATATCCACGCAAATAAAATTCAAAATCAAAATTAATATAATAATAATATATATAATATATATACAATTATCGAATAATAGTGTATGTGGCATTTACACTGTTTCTTTATTCGAGCGACGACAACAACGCGTTCAGAAGGTGCAATCGCAACAGTTGCTGAGCCGTTGCGCCTTCTGAACGTGCCCATTTTCAACAGAGGCAATTTTCTGTAATGATGTACATACATACATATTTTCTCGTTGCCGTTTTTTCTAGGCCTAATTTTAATGAATTTCACACAAACCAAAAAAGTGTTTGTTTGTTTCGCCTTTAGTGATCTGCATTTTCGGAAACCGAATACAAACGAAACATCGCTATAAAGCTCTACCCAGAATTGCTGCGGACGACGGTTAAGCGGTCGGCGGTAAGCAGGGTTCGGAAATCTATAAATATAAAATAGTAGCCTTTTTCGTTGTTCGGAGTTAACTCCAAAAGTACTGCATAGATTTCAGTCAAATTTTCTGAGGTTATACCGTGCATATATGGTCCTATTATAGGCTACCAGAAAACTCGCTAGGTGGCGCTGGGGTCGAGTTATTTATAAAAGTCGTATTTATGAACTGATTTCACGCTAGATGGCTCGGGAGTCGAGTTGTTTATAAAAGTCGTATTTCTTAACCGATTTCGTTCAAATTCAAAGTATAAGCTACCTGCATGATGAAAAAAGCATTTGCGAAAAATGGACCCGATAAAAGCACTATTTATGAACCGATTTTGTTAATGCAAATTCAAAACGTTTATTACTTTCATGATATTTTTTTTCATTCGAAACATATATGTATGTACGTTAGACTGCATCACTCCCCATACAAAAAAAAACCGGTACTGTCTTTCCATTGGAATTATAAAATATATTATATTTTAAGACGTCCACCAAAATATTTCCAAAAAATATTAAGATTTAAGTGAGCTGGACCGATTTGAAAATACCTCCAAAAATGGAGTTTTTTATGAATAAAAATAGTTTCTTAAATATGTTTTTTGAAAAAATCCCCTTAAATGACAAAACGGCTTAAGCTTAAAAAATTTGCATAAAAATATTAAAAAAAAAATAAAAAATACGGAATCGTAATAATGAGATTTTTGATGCTGTTTTTTAACATTTTTCAAAGATTGGTATAAAAAAAGCTTGAATAACTGAACGTAAAACTCTTCCGATTTAGACTAGGGGGGTATCATTGGAAAGGTATTTTCTCACTTTTTTTATTTCTTTGCTAATAAGTTTATTCAAAGGATGAAAGAGAAAGGTAGGATGACCGAACGTCATTCAAAGTTGAATTAAGATGTGTTGGTATTTGAAAAAAAAAAATTGGGACACGAATGACTTTTTTTGCACACAAATAAAAAGAGTGGGAAAATACCAATCAATCTTTGAAAAAAGTAAAAAAAACAGCATCAAAAATCTCATTATTATGATTCCGTTGAAAAGATCTTTAAATATTTTTATGCAGATTTTTTAAGCCTAATCTGTTTTGTCATCTGAGGGGACTTTTTTCAAAAAGTTTTTTAAGAAACTATTTTTTTTCATAAAAAACTCCATTTTTGGAGGTATTTTCAAATCGGTCCAGCTCGCTTAAATCTTAATATTTTTCCGAAATATTTTGGTGGACGTCTTAAAATATAATAAATTTTGTAATCCCGGCGGAAAACCCGCAACTTTTTTTGGTGATGCAGTCTAATGTACATACATACATAAAACGATAGCCGTTTTCGTTGTTCGGACTAAACTCAAAAACCAGTCAAATTGTCGGAAGTTAAACCTTTGCGTGTATGGTCCCATTATAGCCTACCAGACAACACGCTGATGGCGATGGAGTAGAGTTACTTATAAAAGTTGTATTTATTATCCGATTTCGTTCAAATTCGCAAAGTGAGCTACCTGTATGATGAAAAATTCATTTCCTAAAAATGAACCCGCTATATCTGATTGAAATTCATATGGTTCAGTGGTTTTGCAGAAAAGGGACCTAATGGATTGCGCTGCAGCCGAAATATATAGAAACCCACACGGGGTTTGGTCTGCTTTGGCCCTATATTCATCTTAGACAAATTTTCTTTTCATATGGCTAAATGGAGGATTCGTCTAAGTGTGCATTTAAAGACCGCAAAATTGTGTAAGCGCACCTTTGCCTGACGCCCTCATACACCCTAAATGCGATCTTGCACCTACCTCCGATTAAGGAAATTGCTCGGGGTGGTCGTTAGTACAGCAGTAAGACTCAAAGAAACAAGTTCATAAATATTAAGACGAATTGTAAAAGTGGTGAATTGACAAGGAAAGATTCGACCACATCCGTAATAAAAGAATACGGTAGGTATATCAATGGCTTCATTTGAATGATATTTAAGAGATCACACGACTCATTTGTTCAATGTACAGGAAAACTTTTCATCCTGTGGGTGGTGAGGATTCTTGGCCCTCCTATAAATGAAAACGCTCATCTGTGCTCTTTAGTTTCCTTATAAGGACTTTTATTGGCTTGCATGGTACATCGGACCAATGTTGAAGTTGCAAGACTCATGACATCGAAAGGGATTAATATTCCATATGGTATCAAAGCGCTACTATTCTTGGCCTATGTGTGAGGAGGATTCTGCCTTTATTCGTTTCAATTTAAGCTGAAAATGTTTACTTTACAGACCGCTTTTGCTTTTAAACGCTATTTTTGTATTGGCCAACGCGAAAGATCTTATTAGGCGCCGCGAAGCAAGCGGGTATTGGCTAGTATTCATATATGAGCGCTCGCGTACATACATTTACGATTTTATACGCGAAGGTGAACGTATCAAATATTCTGTATTGATTCTCCTTCGCGAACGAGAAGCACAAAACCAGTCCAGATAGTTCACGTTTGCGAATGTTAAGGCTGATTTGCACTATGTCAAATTCAGTGGCATTTGTCGTCATATAAGTGAAAACACATTGTCAAATGGGATTAAAAAGCGGTTCATCGATTGATTTGGATCAGGACAGGTCTTTAGTCGGGTACATGCGCTGCTAAATCGGCTATCTGTCTGTTTTTGGCCTATAATATCATCGGTAAAGGTATGGATAAAGGAGATAAAGATGTCTCAAAATATGTTGCCAAATTTTGGTGAAAACCAGTCTTTAGGTAGAAAAAATTTTTGTTGTTCGTACGCGTATGTATTGGTTGACCAAACAGCGTGCGTTCATATATGTACATAGCTATAAGTGGCAGTGATGCCTTCGCGAAGGTTCACTGTAGGGATGGGTAAATTCGATATTCGAAGCTTCGATCGAATTTTAATCGAATTTTAGCTCCAAAATGGCGAATTTTTGAAATCGAACTTTGTGTTGCTAAAATTCGGATAAAATCGAATTTTTCTAGAAAAAATCGAATTTCATATTTAATTCCAAAAAAATCAACTCTTCAACTTTCTTGTTTCTGACTAAAATTGCTATCACTGTGTGTGGCAGTCCATTTGTCTTAGGGATGCAAGTAAAAAATACATGTTTCTCGATCTGATGCATCGAGACAAAAAATCTTTGCCAAGAAGGAACTGTTATTCTTAAATTTAAAAAAAAATTTTAAAAAGTACTTTTTTTGTTGATTTTTTATTTTAAATTTGTAGAGGTTTTTATGTTGGTAGCACGAAGCTTTTGCCTGAGAAGACCCCTAGTAAAATTTTCCGGAGAATAATTTTCTAGAGTACACCAGTCCTCTAACGACCTTCCAAATTTGGATTTATTGAAGTAAGGATCAAAATTACCCTTTTAGGAGGGAGCTAATAGGTTAAAATGTTCTACGAAAATATTTCCCATGAAATTTTATTATATGTGTCTTAACCTTTAATTTCGCTCAGACATTCATTTTAACTATTTTTTTGAAAACTACTTAGACCGAGACATGAAAACTTTAGTAGGCCATGAAATAAAAATCAGGGACCGTAACGGTTATAACTTTTGTTCAATATTTACGATATTGGTTTCGATATTAAAGTAGTATTTATTAACAATAATTCAAATTTACAATATTTCAAGAAAATTATGAAAGTATGGTTGAATGCATATGCATGTATGCATGAACGAATATAATACAGGAGACTTTAATGTTTGAAGGTGACTTTAATTAACAATAATATGTATGTAGAAACTGAGAATGTTAATACGCGGAAAGTATGAATGATTTTAAATAACAACTTGAGTGCAAGAATTACTATTTAACAATATGAGAAGATTCGCGAAGCGAATGATTTTATGAAAATGAAATATAATTTAAATGTACAAGTACGCAAACTATTAAAAGATAATGCGAACAATTTGATCGATGAATAGAGGTCCTGGTAAGCGGAAATCCCTCGGTGGATGAAAATGATGATGTGCTGCTATCCTGCTGGACGTCAGTGGAAAAAAGAAGAGCGAATGACAAGGTGGCGGTTGTATTTATAGGCAACACTGGAAGTGGCCCAATGTGCCAATAAGCAACCCTGGGAAGCAATTCCCGTGCACTTGTCGAACTTCCAACTAGAGCAGGGATGCTTTTCTAGAGAATATACGCAGGGATGCGTTGAAGAATCAAGCTGAGCAGGGATGCTTTCTTTAAGTAGGCGCAAGTCACTTAAACATGCCAGCCCCGTTGCACTTGTGCAAGGCTGTCCTTCTGCTTCGGCAAAGCTCTTTGAACTTATCTCTGTGCCCCGACGCCTAGTTGGATTTCTATAGATGGTAGGAGAGAATGCACCGCCGCCGATCTTTTTCTTATCCTTAAGCAATGGTTTCGCTGCATGCGCTTGAAGATCATGGGGAAGGTTGTACGAGCATTTTTCATAGTCCTGTATATCCATTTTCGATGTAATCTTGGAAAAACGTATTAGTGCTTCATAACGATAAATCTCAAAACTATGCTGGATTGCTAAATGGCTTCGTGGCGAGGGCGATCTGCAAATATAATTCGTTATAAAAGCTTCTTTGAGGATTTCCATGAGAAATAGTTTCCA